TGGACAAAATCGTATGATAAATAAATGTTTGTAAACGTAAAATGACATGTTGAATTATGTGTCCTCATCTGTCATAATATTTTACATTATCTGATTGTATTGTTTTGTTAAACTGTAAGGTATAATGTACCAAAATGACATGCCCCTATATATTTGATTTTACGACCACGATCTTCGTGTGTGAGTTTATTACCTACAGTGCTTTTTCTTCTTTAAGTAACGTTTTCGTTTGAGTAAGCGAAAGAGTGAGTCTTGTATATATGCATAAAAAATATATATGCAAAAAAAATCAACCATGTTGTCGGTGCTGTGAGTAAAAGCAAGACGAGGAAGCAGAGAATAAAAATCATCTTTTCTGAAGTAATCCTCTGCGTAATATTTCCATAATATGGAGAACAGAGCTGAGATTTCAATTTGAAGGTTCACGTAGCAAAGAAATAATACATTCTTCCCGTCGTGATGCCTGAACGAAATCATAAGGCTTAAATGTGGCTGTAATTGAACTTACATAATTCATTTTTGTATCATTTCTGAGACTTGATGGAGCGAGTGTAATGTAAACGTAAACGTGAGCTCTTCAAACATAGAGTCAGATCCGAAGCCCAGGAAGGACGCGGGTCGTTCCTGAATTAATAGCGCCACCTGGCGGTAGTAATGTTATTTTGATGTTTTTCTGTTTGGCGGTGGTTTTGATGATGCGCCAATCAAAGCGTTGCTTGGATTTTATTGTCTGCATATAAGGAAAAGATACAAGGATGAACACCTGTTCATTTCATTTCAAAGCATTAACATTCTCATTCGTCGTTTTTCTTCACATATATTGACTGAAGTGACTGGGACCTTTGCAAATGAACTTTTTTTTCCCTAATCCTGCTCGTTGCGACTGTGCGATCTGTCATGGTTTTTTACCATGTTGGCAGAGATCTTACTATAATTGTGATTGTATTAGATATTACTACACGGACGTTCCCCTGTCTCGTGCCTTTGCTGCCAGGGATAGGCTCTAGCCCCAGCCCCTCCCGCCCTGACCAAGACGTGATCTGTGTCATGGGGAGGGGGCGGGGGGTTATTCTCGAGCCAATTGTCACTACGTTTAAGTCCCTAATGAAAACTGTTTTAATCCCTACCGATTTCACATAATTGATGTTACTGGCGCATTGTCAGTTTCGATATATGTTCTTAAATGTTTAACTTATATCTAGTTTTACTTCATGCACTTTTTCATATCTCCTTTCTCTAAAGCATGTAGAATGACTTGTCTATGTAGATGACGGGTGCTGGGAAGTATTTTCGCTGTCATTTCACTAAATGTACAGTCGTGAAAAAATTAGGACACCCATTAAATATTTAGTACTTTACTAAGAAATATCAACATATCAACTCATATACATCTACAAGCTTCTTTCTGAAGGCCTCAGAGAGCTCTTTGGACCTCACCGTGGTGATACCACTCACTTCAACAATCAAGAGCAAATCAAACTAAATGTCTGTGGTTTAGATAAGACAGACTCCACCAAAAAGCTCTGTAATGATGTTCTAATCATTTTCACCTGATGTGGTGACCAGGATCTAATTCTAGGCGTTTTAAATAGTAATGGATATGAGGGTGTCCAATATGCTGATATTTCTCAATAAAGAACTAAATATGGAATGAGGTGTCCAATTTTTTCACATGACTGTATATTGCAAATTCTTATTATTTATGTTTCTGATTTTCTGTCCCTAAATTTGATACTTGGGGTGAAAAAATGCATGTGCATCTAAGGGTGTAAATTATGGGGAGATGGAGGTTGTAACCGCCCCCCGCCCTATAATCAAAGCCAACCAATACAACCCCCTGGATCCCCTTAAATGCGTGAAGACTTCAACCCCCTCCCCCCCCCACCTTGGGAGGGGGCGTTGTGCTTTATCAGGCGCTGTCGTTCAATCCTTCGATAAGGAAGACTGCAACAAAATGATTTTGTTCTTATTTGCACGTTTAACTTAAACTCGGTCATGAGGAACTCAGCTTAAATGTATATTTTAAAATGTTGCATATTTTGTTACAGTAATGTACATTGTTACGATTACAGCTTAAAGTGTACTGTACTGTTACCTTATTACATGGCGGTGTCATGCACATAAATACCGCTGCACGCTAAAGCCCCTAGTGGTACATGACAGTCATTGCAACGTGGTTTACTCTACGTGACAGTGGCTATTCCAATGGCAGATGACGATGTTACAGAACTCTTCTCCGTTGGCGGTACATGACAGTCATTACAACCTGGTTACCCATACGTAACAATGGATAAACCACGGATATTGTGCTGCTCCGTTACCGCTAAAGGCCATGTATAAATTTAGTCATTGAATTTCTCTCATTGGAGAAAATATGTGAGAAACCATATTTGTGACACTTTATTTATCGCTATGAATTAATTAATAATTAATTAATTAGAATTAATTAATAAGTGCCACGACAGATCTGCCTTGTCGTGGTTCGCGATTTTCTGTTCTATATTTTTCTTAAAGTATTCTATTTCATTATGTAGTGAACAGTGATATGTGTGTTGACCGCTACGTTTTTATTAATTAGGCCAATTATTACGTTTTGTAATAGGGTGAATTACGATGTCCTGGGACACTTTCCGCTCTTTTGACTTCAGAAATTTATGGCAACATCGAACCAACACACTCTCAGAAAAACGGGGTAAAAAGTTGTACCTTTGCTTGTCACTGGGGCTGTACGCCTGCATGTAATTGGACCTTTTGAGAATGGGCCATTAAATCTGAGGCCATTAAATCTGAGGGGGACGTGTCACATTTCATAATTATTTGTTTGGACCCCCCCCCCCACACACACACACACACAATTAACATAAAATATTAGTTTTATGCCAGTGTGTCCCCCCCACATTCAAAATGCTTCTGACGCCCCTGCTTTTGAGATACAGAAATGGACTCTGAGGAACATCCCAAAGATACAGACAGCACTAATGTACCATTGGTGGTACAGAAATGTCCCTCAAATATCCAGTTATCACTTCCCGAGATATCATGCCACCACTTATAGTGACTGCTGTATTTAGCACTGAATCAGCCCTTTTAAAAGTTTTTAATGACATATTCTTAGCTACTGACTCTGGCGACTGTGTTGTTCTTACATTTGCGTTTGATACAGTGGATCATGCCATTTTACTGTCTCGTTTGGAGCAGTGGGTGGGCCTCAGAGGCACAGCACTGGACTGGTTCAGTCCTGTTTGGCAGAGCAAACCTTTTGTGTCAGTCTCGGTGACCATGTGTCCCACTCCGCTCCTCTACTGTTTGGGGTCCCACAGGGCTCAGTTCTAGGCCCCATCCGTTTCTCATTGTATCTACTCCCTCTTGGTTCTATACTGAGAAAACAAGGCATTGCATTTCATTTTTATGCTGATGACTGTCAGATCTATGTCCCTCTAAAGAAAAAAGGCACATACTCTGTGCAGCCATTACTTCAGTGTCTCGATGACATTAAAGCCTGGATGGCTCTTAACTTCTTAAAATTTAATGATAAGAAGACTGAGGTGATGGTTTTTGGTAACCTTACTGGGACCCCCAAGTCCCCAACCTGGGGGTTAACGTGCGCTGAGCTCAAGTTTGACAGTCAGATTAAGGCAGTCGTAAAATCAAGCTTCTTCCAGCTGAGGCAGCTGGCTAAAATAAAGCCAGTTCTTTCTCTCTGGATTACTGTAATGCACTTTATATAGGGGTCAGTGCTTCATCCATCGTTCACCTCCTGATGGTGCAAAATGCTGCTGCTCGTCTTTTAACTGGCACTCGGAAGTTTGAGCACATCTCCCCTATTTTAGCTTCACTGCACTGGCTGCCCATTTCTTTTAGGATTGATTTTAAAATTCTTTTGTTTGCTTTTAAAGCCCTCCATGGCCTTGTCCCATCCTACCTCTAAGAGATACTGCCTTATACACCCACCCGCTCTCTCAGGTCAGCCGATCAGCTGCTCCTGAATGTACCCAGGACTAAGCGTAAACTTACAGGAGACTGTGCTTTTGCTGGAGCAGCTCCCAGACTGTGGAACGATCTGCCTTTAGAGATCAGACAGGCCTCTTCTCTGTCTGTTTTTAAATCACTTCTGAAAGCCCATCTCTGTACCCTGACCTTTGAGGCCTTATGAGGCGTTTGCTTTAGCTCTTTTATTTTTGATTGTTATAGTTAGTTATATGTTCTTTTATATTGTTTTAATATATATCTGTTATTTATTATGTGTTTTATTTTGTTCTTATTTTTTATGTTGCTGTTTTGTTTTATCTATTTTTCTTAATTTATTTGCTGTACAGCACTTTGGTCCTGTACAGGTTGTTTAAAGTGCTTTATAAATAAAGCTGGATTGGATTGGATTGGATTTAGAGATTTTGCACAAGCTACAGGGTGTATTTGAAAGAATTTAATGAATAAAAATATATTGGAATAAAATTGGTCTGAAATATAGTCCAATACAGGACAGTAATTCGTGAACGTGAACCAGACAACAGCTAAATGTTGACATTCTAGTTGACATTAAACTGAAAAAAGAAACTAACTAAGACCTCATTAACCTGTTGATGCTCTTTCCCCGAAGTTCACCTCTTTTATTGATATCGCAGCTATTAAGTCATGTGACCTCATTCATATTACACCACAGATATTATGTATCAGTGTTAGAATAGTCTTACATTGACTTAATCAGGAAATATATATGTAAAAGGCCATGTGTCCCAGATTACCCTAATTCACTACTGCGTGGTAACATTGAAAAATATTGTACAAAGCTAATTTGATTCATATAGCGTTTCTAAACGCTGTCTAGTGCAATTGCTGCCTTTTTTTACAAGCAGTGTTCAGTTTTTTGTAGTTTGTTGTGGTTTTAAAATATTTTATTAATATTTATATGACTGTTAAACTGCAATCTGTACTGTCATGTAACTGGAAGTACGATAAAATATATAATAGCATGTGGAATTACACAGACACAAAGACAATACTGCCATTGATTCTCAGAGAGTTTTATTGATTCTTATTCATGCGCTTTGCGGTGCTGGACTGACATCCAGTGAAATTTAGCGGTATCTCTCAGAAAGACCCAGAGCCACATTGGCCAAGAACTTGTCAACTGACACGTGGACCTCAGGAGTGAAGTCAGCCGGGAAGTACAAGGCGAAGCATACGATGAGGTTGTGGGACAGGATCTGGAAGAAAGTACACACAGCAAAATGTATGAGACTGCCCATGTTTGCGGACGGTCACGTTCTCATCCCCAAAACATAATTTGTCTTTCCCTTACCCTGAAGTTGGCCGGATCAATTCGCAGTTTGAAAGCGTGCAGCTCGCTGAGGCTGCTCAGGGCACCTTGCAGGTCGTCTATTTTACCGACGGCATCGGTGACGGCTCCCATGATGGTCTTTCCATGGTTCTTCACCTGAGCGGATCCGGGGCTCAGATCAGACCAGTGGGCGAAGTAAGTCTTCGTCTGGGGGTACACGGTAAGCATTCTGGTTGGGGGGAAGACAAAACAAGAAATGCGAGTTATTTTTAGTAACAGCAGACCCTTCTCCTATTGCGATTGCCCCCGTTTGCTTTGCAGTGGCTGTTTTAAAAAAATAATCATTCTTAATTTAGATTATTTCCTGCATGCCTCAGCGGAACATATTATAATATGTTAATATTAGGTGTATATATTAGTGAACACGTGACCTAGCCGTCGACTAAGACGGTTACCAAAAATAATACCAAATAATAAAACGTTGTTAAGCCTGCATGAGAATCTTTGTAAAATGCAGACGCAATTAAGCTCACCTGCCCAGTGCCTCGGCACCGATTTCATCGGCCTTTCCGCCGGCTTTGCTCCAGAAAGCCTTAACTGTGGCCTTGTCCTTGGCTGAGAGACTCATTGTCCTGTCTTCTTTTCCAAATGCGCTCGGATAGAATTAGAAGAATTAAAAATTTTGGTGGTCTGACAGACCGAGCCCCTTCCTTTATACTGACCGAAAACAGGCACACCCAGATGCTGGGTCCAAATCACGCCCCTAATTTGCATATCAGTAGAACGAGGCGGTACTTCATCTATTCGTTAATTTGCTTATCTTAAATCTAATGAAATTTTTCAACTTTCAGAAATAATTTATTGAAGTACTACTGCCTTAAATGTTAATAGTTTCGGTAGAACAATGTTTTGAAAGCCTGCCAAAAAAAAGGGTCTAATCGTTTTAAAATGTTATATCATTTATAATGTAATAGTATTTAGTATTTATTATAATGTAATAGTATTTATAATATAATAGTACAAATAAAGATAAAACAATATCAATATTTCTCTGTATTCCATGGACTGCAAAATCAAACGTGACAAAGATAACAAAAAGTATTGTAAAAATGTGTAACAATGTAGGGTATAGGACCTGGTATATGTGTACCCCGCAACATTTAATTTCAATTCATTCATCCCCGTCATAAATATACCTTTGTATTTAAATTATTATTTTATGTGCCCCCCCCCCCCCCCCTCACACACACACACGACAATATTAAATCTCCTGCGCCGTTGCTAGCAATAATAACTGCCAAATTTAATTATGTATAGCCTAGATATGTATTGTAATGTATGCTTAAAGTTTTGAATTAGTAAGAATTACCATCCTTGTTGTTGTACTTAAACTGTGTTGTTTGGAGTTCATATGTTTGTAACAATTTGCTTTTAAAAACATGTTATTAAACTTTTGTATCATGTTGCTTCACCACGTGTGTCCACGCCTGAAACAAAGCATAGAAATATCGAAATTCGGCAACTTTCAGAATTACGCAAGTCCAGTTCAGTGGAATGGGTAAAACATGAAATAATTACGAAAATCAAATGCATAAACTCTAAACATGAAATACTCACGAAAAAAAGTCGCAGATAAAAACAAGACTCAAAATTCAAGCAATTCCTTGTCATATGTGAAATTATTAATTTCATCGTGAGATGCTGCAAAAAAGAAAAACAATTTAACAGCAGGCAAGCATATGAGGAATACATAAAGATATAAGATAGTGATGTTACAGTGCAGAAAGCATAGATTTGTGTACCGATGAAAAAATGTATGCATACATAAATAAACATTAAAATATATAAATGCACATTATAAGTGTCAAAACTCAGTGTGCGGAGTGAGTGTGAATTAAATTAGAGAATATTTATTTTTGCTACAATGTAATGTTCGGTGCTTAGATTGTCCAAAAAACAAGAAACAAGAAAAAAAATAACATCTGCATCTTTTGTGACCAGAAGACATTTGTTAATTTAAAACAAAAGTAAAATCAAAATTGTTAAGCAGCCCCTACAAGGACTGCTTATATAAAGCGGTTAAAATTATTTTTGAAAATATTCACGAATATTTTATTTTTTACTGTATTAATAAAATAGGCGAATTAAATGTGATTAGAGCTGCAAAAATATACGAGAGAATGTATATAAATAAAAATGCATGGCGTAGAAATTAAAGGGAGTTGCAAAGGGAAATTAAAAATGCTTATCAATTTCTGACAACATTAACAAACAGTGGCCAACTGACATTACTGTTAATCATTAAAAAGCCAGAAATTGTAGAACATACAGAGGGTGGAACCTGTCTGAATTTATAGATAAAGCGTTTTCATTAAGCATAATAATTTTAATTGGCTTGTACCCAAACAAATTTTTTTGAAAGAGTTATGTTTTTCTTAGTAACCAGCGTACTATAAGCCTATTTGTAAATGTTCCTATTTTATTGTCGTAACCTCAACTGCACTTAAATTATGAACTTTATGAAATGCTGTTTTTATATTTGTTAATAAATGTATGATTTTATTTACTTTAAAATAACATATTTTCAAATTCATATATTTAGGTGTTTCACAAATGGTCTATCAATTGGCACGGCGCCGATCTCGTGACAGGTGATCAAACGTGCTGCCTCATGTAATTCATCCAATCGTTTCGTTGGATTTTCCGTAGGGCGGAGTAACCAGAATAAATATAAAGTGCATCTCCGAGCCCAGTTAATAAGACATCCTTTGGAGAGCTTTTTTATAACAATTTCAAGAAATCTAAAAAATTCAAGATGGTCCACTGGACTGAAGCTGAGCGTGCTGCCATCAGCAGCCTGTGGGGAAAATTGAGCGTCGACGAAATCGGACCCCAGGCCTTATCCAGGTACTGTATTCAGTAAACAACGCGATTGATCTTAAATATACGTTCTCAAATAGTTGTGGCTCCAATTACTCCATGTGACTGACTTCCGTAATTGTACATGCGTGCTTACTGCGATTCACTGTCATTCAGGCTCCTGATCGTGTATCCCTGGACTCAGCGGTACTTCAGTACCTTCGGTAACCTGTCCAGTCCCGCTGCCATCTTGGGCAATGCCAAAGTAGCCGGGCACGGAAAGGTCGTAATGGGTGCATTGGACAAGGCTATTAAGAACATGGATAACATCAAGGCTGTCTACAGTGATCTGAGTGTGATGCACTCCGAAAAACTTCATGTCGACCCCGATAACTTCAGGGTAAGTGCGACGCAAGCTTGTGTATGCTTGACCAGTTTATCTTGCTATTAATAACAACGCGCAAGCATTTAAAACAGCCACTGCATTTTTTTTTACTACATTTTAAAACGTGTATCTTTTTCTTCCCTCAGCTTCTGGCCGATTGCATCACTGTGTGTGTGGCTGCCAAGTTCGGACCCTCCGTGTTCAACGCTGATGCACAGGAGGCGTTCCAGAAGTTCCTCGCGGTGGTCGTCTCCGCCCTCGGCAGGCAGTACCACTAAAAGCGCAACTGCTCACCTCACCGAAACTGCAGAATAAAGCCGGCCACATGTTCTGATGGATCACTGTGTGACTGGATTTGAAAAATAAAAATTACATCAAAAGCAACTTTCGTCACGATTTAATACTTGGTGTATATGTACAGTGGTGATGGTGTAGATAGGCTACATGTCTTTATGTGATTATACATGAACACTGTCTAACGCCCGGATATAGTAGGCCTAATATAGTTCTTGTACCCGGAATTAAAATAACCGGCACAATTCTAAAATATAATTACGAAAATTAAAAATTTATAAGTCATTAAGAGCGCTATTTTATTGCAAATGTACACTAAACTAACTAAAAATAACAAAGCATCGCATTTGCAAATATATTTAAATATAGGCTACCAATATCCATCGAATTGAATTTGGGACTGTGGTTTTAGGTCAAAGTGAACGGATCTCAATAGTTATAGGGGAGAGGCAAGACATTAAGTACAGTACTGTAATATATATACAGCAAATAATAATGAAACTATAAATTCACTATACTTTATACGGAAAAGAGATGGCACTTAAATTTCACGAAAAAAAAAGCATGACAAACTGCGAAATTAAAAGATGCGCGCGGTAGCAAACGGGAGCTGAGAATTAAGAGGGCGCCTGAAGCTGCGGCGAAATATTTATTTGTTCATACTGCATTACAAGTTAAATATATCTGGATAGTGGGTCTTTATACTCCTGGGAGTAGGCCTATACTACCCATTCTCCGGCACCTCTGTGAGTGTGCATGTATTCAGTTCCTGAGCGCGCCTAGGAAGAGGCGTACTTTAGTCTTTCCGCTTGATCCGTTATTGTTTACGTCGCGATCCCGTGCATGACGGATATTCGACTTAAAATAAGAGTACAATGTATGTGTATGTGACAGAGATAGTAGGCTATAAAATAATTAAAGTGAGCGTAAGAAATGTGTTATAATTCTGTGTTTTTCTAGAGCAACATTCAGCTACTCCGAAAATTCTATATATAGGCTGATCTGCCAGTGCCTCGATCCCGACCTGCCGTACACAGAAAAAAGTGTGTTGGAAATACATGAGAAAAAATATGTACATCCGTTGGACATATTATAATCATGTTTACTTAAAAATATTTCATTACGTTAAATACACCAAATTCTTTTTTCGTTAAACAAACATGACTTTTAACCATAATGTAAAGATTGTCTTTAATGTAGATTTAAGTAGGCCTACCCCATGTTAAACCAACATGACTTTTTATATTAATGTGAAGCTTATTACATGCTCAGTATATTCGATTAGTACTTAAAGCAACATGATTATTTTATTTAAACTACATTTGGCGTTGTTCTATTAAATCTATAGTCAAAAAAATAATTTGTCAGATTTAATTAATTTTATTGACACCTATTTCCATCTAATTTAATTAAGGAGTTCTAACATAAAAAAATGTCTACGTTTTACATACATTTATTACGTAAGTTTAATACATATTTATTAATTAAACTGAACAATAAATATTTTAATTAGGTTAGCTTAATATATATGTTTAAATTTAGTTTATAATGCTTAAATTCTACAAGAGCAAAAGATATGGCTAATGACCCCAACTTCTACTTAAAAATGAAATACATTTACAACACGACATTTTTACTGTTCGTTTATTTATTTGAGCCATCAATTACTTTGTGAATAAGAAATACCTGTTATTGCAGGTTGAACAAGTTTTTTCCATGTCAGTGACAAAACAGCAGTGTCAAGTACAAACGGAACCATGCATGCTAATGTCTGAGCTACAAGTAAATGACAAATACTAACAGTCTCAACATTTACACAACCCAAAAACTTACCCAACTGTACATTTTATAAAACAGTAAAATTCAGTTATAGAAAATCACAGTTCCAAAAACAAAAAATAAAAACTTTGCAGAAGTGAATTTGAAATGAAACGGAGCCTGCAAATGTGCACCATGTATAATCAACACAAAGTTGAACATGAACGATCCTCAAAAACATGAACTTACAAAAAGAAGTGCAAGTTACAATTATTACTGTTTAGTAAGGAATGGCAAAACTGCAAATTCCAAGATAACTTAGTCAAACACTAAGGCTGAAGCCACAAAAAAATCTACATACAATTGTATTCAGGATATGAATTATTGAAAAGGTGCACAAGTGCACAATCTATTCCTGAACTAATTTGTTTTTCAGGGCCAACACTTTAGGAGACAGCCTTTGTCCACTCAGATTCATGACAGCCTTCTGTATGAATTCAAAGGTGCATTTTAGTTTGTCTGGAAAGCTGAGGTTAAGGGCCTAAGTCCAAAGAACATGGCACAGCATAGAGCCACATTTTCCACCCCTTCAATTACAATGCCTACATGTGCAGGTTCATCAGTAGCTTCGGCCCCCTCCCTCCTGACTGTGTACACTGCCATCAATGTCTGCCCCATGTTCTTCTCAGCCTCTTCCAAGTCCTGGCAAAAAGTACACAAACAAATTAATTTAAGATTTAAAAACAGACCCTAAATGTTATTAAAATGCTGCAGTTGTTGACAGTGAACAGGCCTACATTCTGAATACTAAAATCAAGTAAATGAAGAATTTGCAAAAGAAGAAAAGGCATCTAAAATGTTATGGATTAATTCATAATTCCATTACACTCACTTCATTTGTTTTTGATACACAGCAAAAAGTACTTTAAGACAATATTCTACATTGTGTCCAATTTATTTTATCTAAATATCTAACACCTCAAAGCATACGTGAACATTTATGCACAATATAATGTATACACAAATTAGTCACACATAGAAATTCGGTAAAATTATTAAACTTACGATGTATTCTTTTACAAGCTCTTGGTGGTCTTCGCTGAAGTACACGCACAAGGCCTTGAGGATACATTCCCTTTGAACATCTATTGAGTTGTTCTGTAAATCAAGACAATATTGCTTTTTATATACTGTATATTAAAACATGTGAACTACTACTCTCTTGAGTCAACCAAAAAGAAAAAAATAATACAACTAGGAATTTGTGTAAACCACTTTCTATGATCCTATAAAAATAATTTCAGTTGAAGAATCAACAAGGTGTAATCGCTACTAACCTGAGATAAGCCCTCCATTACCCTTTTAATTTTTCTTCCACAAACTCCTCCCTTGCTCCCAAAAATTGTCATCAATTTGTCTGTTGCTTTGTCAAGACCTGCAAAGAAACTTGACTGCAGTGGGACAGTCGTAATCCAGAGGAACTCTGCATTTATCTGTAGAATAAACACAATAAGGTAAAAGAAAATCAGACATTACTGCCTTAAAGGTAGAGATGCACCAATACCAGTTTTTTTGAGATCAAGTACAACTACAGAGGACTGCAAGTACGCACTGATAACAAGTAACAATAGTAAATAAATCTGTGGTTCTGAGTCCCTACAATCATCCTAACTCCAGCCTTCCAATTGTAATTGTATCCCTGTCTCCACATGCCAAATTAACACAACTACATCATAGCTACCACTGTAGCAGTTTATTTATTGTTAGTTACTGTAGGGTTGCGCTGCTTTATTTGGTTGATCGTCCAGTCTGTGAAGAAGGCATTCAAGTAAGAATTGCATTGTAGTTTGACTAATTTCCTGGCGCGTACAATTTATATTACGTCAGAGTTCAGGGTTCGACTTCTGATATTCAGATCGAGTTCTAGGTCAAACTGGTTTGTTCGACTTTCAAGAAATTCGAGTTCTAGTGAGTTCGAGAACCGAGGTACCACTGTATATGGATTTTGAGAGGGCGCTGCGGGATACATGGGGTTTCTTCTACAGTACTTTCTTCCTTTCCTCTGTTCAAGAATAATACCTAACAGCTTTCAAACATGCGGTACCATGTATATTGTGAAAATCAATTTCTTAATACTGGAGAGCATCAACTACTGGACTTGCGCTGTATAATTTTTCACACTATAATATGCACACATATAACTGGTATTCACGTGCATTAACCTATCCCTGCCGTAGAATGCATGCCTGTCTCTAAATGACCGATTGGTCGCTGATCTGAAACGAGTTGAGCTACTTTGTCGAGTAAGGCTACCGTAGTGCTAATCAATAGCCCCAAAAAACTCGTAAAACTCTAACCTTAACCCCCAAAAAACCTCTAAAACCCTAACCCACAAACCCCCCCCCCCTAAAACCCTAACCCTAACCCCCAAAACACCCCTAAAACCCTAACCCCTAAAAAACCCCTGACCTCCAAAAAACCCTTAAAAGCTCAACTCGTCAGAACACAGGCATGCATTCTAAGGCAGGGATGCGTTTTTCGGCAGGGATGCCTTTTTCGGCATAACACCTGCTTTGTGAAAACAATGCGTCTAAAGTGACTATCTCTAATTTCGACCAGCATTTGGTGAGATTTAATTACTTTTGTTCGGCATAGGGCCCCCCAGATCCACATTAATTCGTCCAGCTAGAGCCCGTCGAATTTTCTTGTCCAACACAAATGAAACAGCGTGGACCGTTAATCTGCTGCCGACGTGCCAGTGGGCGGAATTTCCAGACTAAACATAACTATTTTCTTTATACTTAACATGACTGAGACTTACATCCCTCAAGATTAACAAAGTTCTACGTGATTGATATATGTTCTGAGGAGTATAAATAAATGCGTGTCATATGCTAATATGAAAATTCTCCCCTCTTTTAAGTGTACACTGTCAGAAAAAAACAGTACAGCCCTGGTACAGTTTTATTCCCCTGGGTACAAACAACATTAATGTACTCATAATGGTACAACAGTGTTCCTTAGAGGACATTTCTGTAAGGAAGCCATGGCAATGGGAATATATGACTAGTAAAAATGAATTATAGAGCGCTATAATATGGATTCTTACTTGTAAAAAGTTATTACTATTAAAGATTATTCATTTTACTAGTAAGAACTGCATTGTAGATATATTGAATTCATATTCTTACCAGTAAAGATTACATTTAGGATTACGTACTAAGACAATTTTGCCAGCCATAGACTTAGATGTAAATGAATCTGCAGCTTCGACTCTTATCAACCTCATGAACTAAAGTTTTGATATACTGTGGTACCTTTAGAGAGGTGTGTGCAAGAGCGTAAGAAATATGAGGGAAGGCATCCACCCCAATATCGGCAGAACCCCCCATTTTTCCATATTAATAACTAAATACACTCATCTTACTCATCTTTAACACGTATTGTCATTTCTTAGTGAAATTGATTTTAAAAAGATTAAATATTGTATGAATAATATATACCGAAATATCATTGTTTATTTTCACACTTGAGTATACCATAACGAAAATGAAACGCTTTAAATTAAAACAAGGACAAAACATGTTTGAATAATTTCATTTATTGAAAGAAGCTTGCGGCATGTCAGCACTGGGAAGGCCTGGATGCAGAATTTATCTGTATTTAGCCGAGAGGGCTGCAGCCACTGCGCCCAGGAACTTGTCCATCGTGACGTGAACTTCCGGCGTGAAGTCAGCCGGGAAAAACACAGCGAGGGATACAAGAAGATTGTGGGCCAGGATCTGCAAAAGGAACGGTGTTGACTGGGTTACATATAAGAAAAGTGTCAGCATAAACGACCCGATGGCATGAGTTACGTAGTACGTAATGCAGACGGTTTGAATATACGGAGCTCCTAAGCATACATCTATTGTTAGTTCATCTATTGCATACCTCATGCTATTGGGGAAACATGCGTCATCAGTTTAATTATTCTGACTTACCCTGAAGTTACCAGGATCGACTCGCATTTTGAAAGCATGCAAGTCACTAAGTGCGCTTAGTCCACCGACAAGGTCGTCTATTTTGCTGACAGCGTCACCTACAGCTTTCATGATAGTCTTCCCGTGGTTTTTAACAGGGGCGGATCCGGGGCTCATGTCGGGCCAGTGAGCAAAGTATGTCCTGGTCTGGGGGTAGACGTAAAGCATTCTGGCAGGGGGAAAAAAAACATTAGAAAAAAATTATGTTAGGTCACTCATTATTTCTACACACCTGAAACATAAAAAACAACACGAGTAACGTTCACAACGCAAGTTTTAACAGTGATCACATTGCCTAGGTTTTGAAAATTTACTATTAGCCCATTAATCTGAGAAATCCCACCTGCCCAAGGCATCAGCACCGATTTCATCAGCTTTGGGGGCGATCTTGGCCCATACTTTCTTCACAAGGGCCTTGTCCGAGTCGGTCAGAGACATTGTTTTTCTTTGTTCGTCTTTTCAGCCGATAGATAACCTTAATTATGACTGAGCTGGAAAACCAGAAATAACGGTGTCGTCTTATATTGAGAAAGGAGAGCAGACACACCCAGATCGCAGAAAACCCCACCTACATTTTTACCCACCTTGGACGTAATCCAATTTCGGAATCAATTACCCGTTCTTATGTCTTTAAATAGACAAATTGTATATTGATATTATACATTTTACGAATTGCAGAATTCGTAAATCGGTTACCTTCATTCTGGATCTAACTTGCCTTTTATCACTGGATTTTTTTTCTAATTTCCTGAATTAAAAAGTTATTTCAGTTAAATATTGAATGATATTTAATTGAAAATTATATTTAAATTTGCTAAGCTTTTCCAGTTCGCAGCTGTAAAATGCACTTTAAAAGGGATTACGCATTAGAAGCTCAAATATTACGACTGATTACCCATTATATTATATACAACTATTGGGATTGTTAAACCTTGAATGAAGCAAGCATACAGTGAGAATTGTACATAAATAGTTATTTAAAACGGCCGTGATTCATGACCAAATGGTTATAATATCTATACAATTCGCTTATACCAAATAAAACGCTGATCGTGTGTGGAATGTCACTTTTCGTGTTGGTAATGTTTCACACCCGCCGATCCTGACCACTACAAGACGACTGAGTGGGTGGATGGAAGAATGGATGGATTTATTTGTAGCCAAAGCTTATGTGTAATGTATACTTTAAACCTATCTGGACGGAGGCATATTCTCTTGTTGACCGAGTACAAAATTTGATACGTCTTTTGGAAAGAAAAACAGGTCGGACTTGGTTATCAAATAAAATTACTGCGAATTAGGGACATTAAATGGGGTGGAACGTATCTGAACATACCGATAAAAAAATAGAGTGTTTTTGGACATAGATAACGCGCATTAAATGTTGGCATGTTGCGAAGTATTCACTGGTTAAAATTTTAGCAGTTAATAACAACAAACACTTTACTCTCAGAAACGTATTTTCAAGACACGTTCTACTAACCGACCATATTACACAAAACCCTTAATTTGCGCACTTCTACGTAATACAATGATGTGTAAGAAACGCACGTCGTCCTTTGAAGTAAATAACGAGTTAAGAAGCTAATAATATGTAGGTTATTGTTCGATAATTCTAAAAAATACCGCCCTTCCAGTTGCAGTTACAATATTTCCATTGGTCATAAGGTTGAAACTTATAATTTACTAAAAATGAAATTATACCAATTTCCTGTGATCTTAAACACTGCGAAGTTTCAAGTCGTGCTACAAATCCTTAAACTTACATTTGAAACTAAACTTAGGCTTAAATTATATAAATTGCTAAACTATATCTTGCATATATACTGCAGTAACAAGTAGTACAATCAGGAACATAACTAGGTTAATTTTCATATGCAATTAATTTTATTCTCTTTTGTTTTTAATCGTACGATTATTGCATACAGAATTTAGCTGTAATATTGTGTTATACTTTTCAGTTGTAATCATCTTTGTCAACTGTGCATTAAATAATAGCCAATCACAGGGGACGCGCTCGACTGGGTGGAGAAGCAAGCACGAATAAAAGGCGCTAACGACGTTTAGGCGTAACCCGGAGAATCACTGGTTTGGGGAAAGTTTTTCTTGTTTTGCAAAGACCAAAGGAAACACAACACAGCCATCATGGTTAAATGGACAGATGCTGAGCGTGCTACAATGAAGAAGGTCTGGGAAAAAGTCAATATAAATGAAGTCGGACCCCAGGCCTTGGCAAGGTATACATACACACACACACACACACACAGAAAGAGAGAGAGAGAGAGTTTACATTTACCCTATAATTTTGATAAGAAATTTCTGAAATGGAAAAAACATCTGTGTTGTAATATCTGTGATACAGACTGCTGATCGTCTATCCGTGGACTCAGCGGTATTTCGGGTCCTTCGGAGACCTGTCCAGCCCGGCTGCCATTGTAGGAAATCCCAAAGTGGCCGCCCACGGCAAGATTGTGCTGAAGTCCCTGGATAAAGCCGTGAAAAACTTGGATGGCATCAAGAACCATTATGTTGAACTGAGCGAGATTCACAGCGAGAAATTGCATGTGGATCCTGACAACTTCAGGGTAGGTCTCACTGCAGTTATAATACTGCAGCATGTGTGGAAGCTATTGCTCTAAAAAAACAGCAATACAGGATTTCTTACAAAAAGGAAAAAGGCCTAATATCACCCCTTCACATTCGCTAAGATTAAGGGCGGATGATCCTCGCAAATTTGGAAATTCTTGAATAAAAGTAATATTTTAAATATTGCATGCTGTTACACTAAAATATTAAGTAGCCTAACACTAATATTTATATATTATATGATTTCATGTGATCTAAATAATTTTCAGCATTGTTTATATATTTTGGCTTATATATTTTGGTCTTTGAGTTTCTACAATCTTTCAGCGAGCACCAAAATATTCCCGATCGCTGTCCACAGCCAATTCGCGAATAACCAAAACCGCGAATGTCAAACTCATTCTGGATGGGCGACTGCAGTAGGCGCCCTGTCTGCATAAATAAATTAATACATCGTTAACTGCATATAAGTCAATTATAGTATGGCCTGGAAAAAAAATATTGTAAGATTTCGATGCTCATATTCTGTCTTTTGTCCCGTTTAGCTCCTGGGTGACTGCGTCTCCATTGTCCTCGCGCTCAAGTTTGGCTCCGCTTTCAACTGTGAGGTCCAGAACACCTTCCAGAAGTTTCTTGCGGTGGTTATCTATGCCTTGTCAAGACAATACTATTGAATTCGATAATGTGTTTTATTTCTGAGACAAATTAATTAAAAATTCACAGGTAAAGCACTTGTAGCCGTTTGGTGTCTGTTTTTAAACTCCGTAGTGAATTTAGAGATCAGTGATGACACACCACAGCACTCAACAACTGCCTTTAACCCAAATGTGACATCGCGACATAGCAGGGGGCAGCTAATTCAGCACCGGGGAAGCAGTGCTTGGGGTGGTACCTTGCCGGTTGGGGAGTCAAACGAGCAACTATTCAATTACAAGTGTGCTTCCCTAACCATTAGACCACCACTGTGTGGAAGCTAACTTTGTGAAAGCCTGCTGCCCATGCAGCTGGTAAGTGGGGCGTGTTTTGTCTGAGTATAGAGGCTGCAGGTAGCGCATTTGGGGCAGACATTGAGGTAATGCACGAGACACTGAAACGTCTCAAATGCAGAAGTCACGTCCAGAGACTCATTAACATGTTCTGAGGTCCCTGGGCTATTTGAGCTGTCAATTTCTATAATGATGTAGCTGTTGGCCTGGGGGGAATGTGGGGGGGGGGGGGGGGGGGGGGGGGGGGGGGGGGATGGGGTTTGCAACAAGACTTAAAAAAAATGTTTTTAAAATAATACTGGGGGCATCCGATCATATTGTTTTGGGCCTGTAACAAAAACACTGATCAAAAAGAGACGCAGCATTTTATTTTTTTCAATAGGGGAGGGGCAGCAACTCTAGGGTTGAAATTTAAATTGACAAGGTTAATCGAGGACCCTTTTTAGCAGAGGCCCTTGGGCTTCAGTCTGGGTAAACCTGTGCATCAAAAACCCCTGAAATGAGTGAATTGAAGGAATTAGACCTATTCAGCTTATGTGGAATTAACAGCGGAAGTATAGATCAGTTCTTGTGGGTGTTTTGAAAGTACATGAATAATCCTGAAAATTCATTTTCAGAAAATATCCGTCTTATAATGTGTCTTTCTGACTATTGCAAACCTAGGTTATATGAGAAGCTAAGTGTTTAATAAGCTTATCTAAAATATAACATTTGAGGACCTAAAAACAGTCATTTGTATCAATGTATGTCCCACTGATATAATTTATTTATTGAGGAGGTTAGTGTCAGTATATTCTACCGAGGCTCTAAATGTTAATTTATATTTGTGTATATTAGATTTGCACATGGACCATACGTGCCTCTACCAGTATTGCGCGGAGTACCGTGGGGGGGTGGGGGATTCGGGGCTACTTTGGTTCCTACTAAAGTTGAAATGACACCTATATATCCTTGATATTAATATATTAATTAAATGATGGCACTATTGCGTTAGCATTGTTGGAAAGGGGTGCATTTATCGATAACGAACGATAGAGCAACGAACAAGATAAACTACGTACGCAAAGAACGAGGACTTTGTCGGCTGATTCTCGACCTACGCGTGAGAAAAGCGCAGTGTCGATAACAGGAAGATCGATCCCACGAACTGCAACGGTGAAATATACGTTATGTTATTGTCATATAGTATAGATGTGCAAGAAAAAAAAACACGCACACACACCCACACACAAATTAAGAACTTTAAAATATAAGCGCCTCAAAAATTAAGCAGAAAAAATTAAGACTAAAATAAATTAACATATTTATCGAAAATATATAAATGGATTCAAAATGTGATGTTGCTTCCTTGTAGAAAGAACAATGGCAATTAGCTCTAGTAAAATGACTTCCTTAAGCAACTCTTCTCAAAAGAAGTCTTTAAACAAGTTATTGAGATGGCCAAAAATAGAGTTTAATAAAATAATTACTGCAATGCTGCACAGCAAACTGCACATAATAAGAGCAGCACAGCAGCATTCAGGGGGAAACCTCAGAGCTCCCAAGGACGTGTCTAGGCACCAGAATCACATCCTCCACATGCCCAAAGCCCCCAGTACAGCAGTGGGTGTCTTTGGTGTGTGATGTCATACGTCTCCTCAGCCACCCTTTGGGGATTCAACACTGGAATCAGTAGGTATTTGCTAAGAAGATACCTGTTGTCTCCCAAACACCAGCCACCAGCAAAAGCAACATCCTTTGCCATCTGACACTCCAAAGCTGGACCAGATATAAGCATCATGTGTCCTCCCAGGACACTTGGCAACAATGTCTGTAAAATGACCTTAATGGTTGCATATTAAGTACTGGCTTGCGTGGCTTACTGGGCTAAGTGACTGTGCTTGTGATCAGAAGATCATGGGTTCAAGCCCAGGTGTGGACAGCCTGTAGGTTTATAGGAAAAGGTGTGGTTAAGGGTTGTGTATTATTATTTGGGGGCAGCTGCTGGCTCAGTGGGCTAAGCCGTGTGCCTGTAATCACAAGGTCACCGGTTCAAGCCCAGCCTCAGCACGTCTGCAGGTCCTTGAGCAAGACCCTCAATCCCCAGCTCCTTGGGCGCCACTACGGGTAGCTGCCCTTCGCAGACAGCTTGCTCTACAAAGAGCAAGGTGAGGGAAGCATAAAAAGTGTGGACAATTTGTGTCAATAAAGTATCAATTATTATTATTATTTCATATCACCCGGACATTTAGGCCTAGTGCCATGAACAGGGTTGAGGGTCCATCCACTGCACCTACAGTGCCAGATAAGCCTGCAATGGCATTCAAACAAATTTTAATGTCATTTAAGACATCCAATCCTGCTGGACATTGTATGCAGTCGTGTGCATAGTGCAATAAAAATATAACCAATGCATGCAGAGATTCGGATACAGCAGCCTTGCTGAGGTCATGTGCATCACTGACAGACTGCAGGAATCCACTGGTGGCATAGAAGCAGAGCTGCCAGACACTGCGCTGTGTGACCAAAGGCAAAATCATGGCTTGTTCCTCTTTTCAATTCATCCTGCACCAGACCAAGGTCGCTTATTATTTCACCCAGGCCAGACTGTTTTTCTCTATTAAATGTATATTACAGAGATGACCCAAAGGCTTCATGTCCACCCACAAAACAACATCTAAACAGGCAACTTCCTGGATGGCACTGTTAGGTACCAGAGTTGTTCACAATTTATTGATAGTGCCCCATTACATGCATTAATTGTAATTTGAATTGAATGACAAATTCATTCAGCTCGCCCCCCCCGCCCCGAAATGGGCACGAGCTCCTCTTGTGGTTGTTTTTGTTTCCTCTGATTAGGCTATAAAACGTCTTGCGTGATTCTTTTGTTGTTGTTATTGCTCCTATATGAAATGTTGCTGAGGGTATTAGCAATAGCAGAATGTTTTTCGCAGTAACCATGTTACTGACCACGTAACTGCGCACTTATATGTATGCGCGTGTATGTGACTTGGGAAGTCGTGGTGCACAGAGGAAAATGGGGCTCTCCCGAAAGCCACTGTGTAATTAGAACACTGACTGTGTCTCTGCGACAAGGTCAAAAACTGGCTATGCCATAAATTTGGTATTATTCCAATGTATAAATACTTAGCTATATCGTTAAAACCTGCTTAATAATTTAACTTTTTTGTTGAAAACACACGCATACAACACCCGCACACCTCGCCTACACAGATGAACATGCATGAACACACGCTTACACGCACCCCTCCAAGCACACACAACAATTTTGTATGTTTGTATAGCTGTTTTATTTTCTTTATTCTTTATTTTTGTTTGTGTTTATGTATTTATCCATTTTTGCGTCTCTTTCAGATGCTGTTGATCTTTTGCCTTATTTTTCTCAGATGCAGCAATTGGCGGCCTGTTATGTGCTACCTACTTTACTCCTATCTTCGCGTATCTCTCTCACTTTCTCTTCCTTTTCTTTTTTCTCTTTTTTCCTCCATCTGTCCATCCTCTTCGGTCAGCTCAGCCACTGCAATATTTTACCTGTGCTAATAAATAAATAAATACATATAATAAAAAGAAATTGATCAACATGAGGGGGCTATGCAGAGTTTATAGAGCTTCTCATGAGATAGCAAACATGTTTGGCACAGCAGTGCATTCAGACCATGATTCTGCTTGCTAAAGCTGTCGGACAGGACAAAAAATTATGTGTTTTAATTAAAACGTATGCATTATGTAATTCACTATAAAGCAACGGTTTCTACTATTTCAATATAAATAAGACCGAGTTTCAGAGTATAGAATAATAGCTAATTATCGGAGTATATTTTTCCTATATAAAATTAAAATACAGCGAGACCGTGTTGAGTGTAAAAATGTTTCTATTGAAATTATAGTAGCCTATATACATTGGATTGACATTAATGTACTAGGCCTACATCAATTAATGCAGAAACTTCTATCAGCGGGTTACTCAATAAATCAAAGAAGTACAGTAAAGGTATAGGCCCATTCTAACCATTAAGGTTATCCACTAAGGACCGACAGTCACCAAAGGGCCGTTTCTTCTATAAGAGGAACCTTTCTGCTGCTACCGCGGAATCTACGGACATTAAAAGCGAAACGCACATAAATTCGTACCGCCGTGGAGTCCGGTAACTAGTAAACAGACCAAAGTAAACTTTTACAGAAGTAATAAAGCGCGATCACGCTAAAGAGGGGTCATTTGCGCCTGGACACATAACGGGGCGAGTGGCGCCGAGCGGACGCGGACCCTGTTAGCCGGACAAAATACTTTAATTTCAGAAGAAATGCGGGCGCTGGAGATAAACACGGGATAGGCTGCAGCATGTCCAAGGATCCCGAGGCCGCTCCCCACAAAAGCGACGGAAGAACGAGCCCCATCAGCGTTATACTGGTGAGCTCGGGAAGCCGGGGCAATAAGCTGCTGTTCCGGTACCCGTTTCAGAGGGTCCCCGAGGACGCGGCATCGCTGGCCGGTAAGTGGTGCTCCTCCCAGCGCTCATCTTGTGTAACTAGGACAACTCATAAATAAAATTACTTCCAGGCAATATGACTCTTTATGACTGACGCTTTATTATGGGTTTTCACCCAAAGCGAAGCAGCGGAGCCCGTATGCGCTGAACCCCAGCGGGGACGCGTCCGAGGACCCAGATGGAGATTCGCGGTAAGGAGACGCTCCGCTTTTTAATATTAGAGCATCATCCCAAAAGTGAGTCGTGTTTCAGTGTAATGTAATCGGAATCCTTTAAACACCCAACGATTTTATGTGGGGAGTGTTCGGGTGTGAACTTGATCTAATTATAGATGGATAGATAGATGCTTTATTAATGTAGAAGGAAACTGCGGGTTTACAGTAGCATAAAATACACATTTAAGCAGTTAAAAGACATTTAGATATTAAGGCCCTGTTTGCACTTGGCTTTGGGCTAGGGATGCACCGATACCACGTTCAAGTGATCATACTCGTACTCGTCAAAATCGTCCGATACCAAGAACTGACCACTTAATTGTAGCATTACAGTAAAACTCAAAGCCGCGGCATTTTTCCTGCCTGATTAGGTTTTGGCATCTAGCAAGAGGTTTATCAACCGGAAGCTGGTATTTTGGACATATTTTAAGATAAGGATAAAATACGACGACATAAGTAAAGCAGACTGCAAGCTCTGTGTTGTGGAAGAGGAAGAAGGGACATCACGTCAAGTCATTTAATATAAGATGTAACTAAGGCCAATACATGTACACCTGGGTGTGCGCTCTCCGCTCCTACTAAAAACAAAACAAACGCTACCAAGCTTATCAATCACAGTTTTTGCGGTCTGCGTCACCTCAACGTTACGTTTCTGGGGAGGTGCACGTCAGGCTATGGCGTAGGTCCACGGCTACGTCGTACTTACGGCGTCGATTCCACGCAGAATTATAAACCAGCCTTTACAGCCACACATGATATCACATGCATGTATACAAGGTTTCCGTTAAGCCTGATGTTGCTTTACATGTAAAAGAATGATCAGTCTCTTCCACGCAGTGAGGCAATAGGCAGCATCTTATTAAACACTGGTATCTAGGGTGACCAGATAATCCATGTCAGGGAGGACACTCTGAGCTAGGACAGGAATTGTAAATTACCATTTCAATTAATAGGACCTGGATTTCACTTTAGCACTGATGTTCTTGCTGTGTGCTGATTGGTCAGTCTCCTATAATTGTGCATGTGTCACTAATGCTAATGTGAAACAGCTTGAGTCTTTAAGTCAAGGAAACAAACCAGTCAAAGCACAAGAAGAGCTGAACTCTTTAGCCGAGCACAGGAGCCTTTTAATTTGAAAGTAGTTTGTAAAACCCGAAGTAGCTCAAAGTGTCCTCCCTGACATGGATTATCTGGTCACCCTACTGGTATCGGATAGGTACTCGGTATCGGCCGATACCCAAAGCGCAGGTATCAGTATTGGTATCGGGACAGAAATAGTGGGATCGGTGCATCCCTAGTTTTTGGCAATCGGATCACAAGTAGACAGCAGAGACACATCTCTGTTTACACCTGAGTCTTTCATGCATCTTCAGGGTGTCCAGCTGACCACTTGTGTTCAGATTATTGCCCCGATGCAGTTATTGTAACGTCCTTTGCGTAGATGCATTAGTGTTCACACCTCAAAATATGAGGTCAGATGCATCCCAAACCACCTCGGCAAGTGGTTTGAGCGCTTGGGTCACAGTGTGTTTTGCTTGTCGTTTACACTGTTTAATGCTGTCCCCTTGCGATCCAGTCGCCCAAGATGCATTTAAAAACCGAGTGTTAGCAGGGCCTAATAGACAGTATCAATAAATAATAAATGACAATAAACAGTAATAGTGAAAGGAATATCAGAGAAAGTATTGCTCAGAATACCATAGTAATGACTGTGGTAAATAGTATTGCACAGTGAGTTGAACAAATGAATGTTCTGTGAATTTGCCCAAAGAGCCACCAGTTTACCCAGTCACCCACCACAGACTCCCATGAGTCAGGACTGGCTCCTAGACGATGGTGCAAAAATCGCGTATATTGTGATGCTTTATACGCACTGTCAGAATAATAGCCTTTACTGGGGTGAGTAAAGGTGGATGAACAGTGGTGCCCTCCACTGGTACAAACTGTCCCTGTACCAGAAGGTCCCTTGGTATCTTATTATGAACGGGATGAAGGGTCCTTTGTTTAAAATTTCTGCGTTATTGAACCTGCATTATTGAACCTATTTGAATTTGGGTACCGGCTCGTATTGCTAATTATTTAGCCGCGTTTTCGAGTCGTTCCATATTCAGTCAGTGCTGTTAGTTTCCGAGAGAAGCTAATGTATGATGGGGGATGGGGTGCTGTGGGGGGTACTGTGACTGCTGTGGGGGGTACTGTGACTGCTGTGGGGGGTACTGTGACTGCTGTGGGGGCATCCTCGGGGCTCACGTACTCTGGGGTTTATTTGTGCTTTTTAACGAGACTTGGCTTTGCTTAGGGATTGGCAGTGCGAACCTGTAATGTTACTATTATTCATCATACCACTTTTACAGATCTTTATTTTTTATTTTTTTTGGGGGGGGGTGGCCTTTTCCCTTTTGTTTGTGGATTGGATAAGCGATCCTTCTTGTCACTCCACCTTAACACGTAATGCCCCTCCAGCTCCTTACCAGTGTGGACCTTCTGTGGGTCCTTCAGGACCGGCTTGGGAAACATCCTAACGCACCCAAACACGTGTACCTTAATTCCTTATAGGGTGACCACAGTGTGCAGAAGAGGATTATATGGCATGCGACTGAAGCCTGTCACAGGCATGCATGGTCACCCCGAATTTTGTATGTATGTATGAATGCAAATGTCTAAAATCGTCCTACTGGACATTAAACGGACTTCAACCCGCTGCCTCCGTAGTACAAAGTCCGGGTCATTTCTGATTCACCCCCATGTGTGAATGGAGCAGGAGATTTTCCGGAGAATTCACCGTGGGCATGCAGGCGTATTCATGACACTTCTGTCATATGACCAGAAGAATACAAATAGGCAGAAAATTCTGCCAGTAAGGGCCAACACTGAAATCATCCGACAGATTCAAGGAATGGCAAGAGACTCAGCTGTGTATGATCAGATTACACACCGGCTACATAACTGCAGGAGACTCTCAACTAAGTCACACATGAACAGCAGCCTCCTTTGATGTGCCGTTAACAAAACACTGCGATTTCTGCAGTGTACTTTATCTATCATGTCCTGCCTCCTGCATGCCACCCCTCTTTTAAACCAACCAGAGTATTTGTAGTAGGTGTGAACACGTCTGACACGATCAGCCTCCGGATATTTGCCACATGTGTGAAAGGGCAACTCTGGAAAACGTCTGGGCCTGATCCTCTGGACAGTGTGCGGAGTTCAGGTGTGAAAACGGCTTGAGATTCGACTTGTTTGCACATGGACGTAAAACGGTTTCATTCCCACATTTTGCAGTGCGGCTCTTTCTCATGTGAAACGCATCTTCCTACCGGTCGCCTGTTTTAAGCTTTTGTCCTTCTCCAGTGTTTTGATGATGTAATTGAGTTGCACGATGTGTAACTCGGATCCAAGCTGGTCATGCTGGACACGTCTCTTTGGTACAGTGTGATACTGCGTGAAGCCAAAAGGGTACGACTGTACGACTTCATCATCATCATCATCATCATCATCATCATCCTCACCCCTTAAGCTTATCAGTCTGATCTGGGCCGTTTCACAACAGTACATGACATCATCATGGAAACAGGTCTGCGCAGGTCCACTGCTTGTACAGCTTCAGACTGAGGTTCCGATCAAGTCGTAACGGACCCGTCCCACTCAGAGAGCCCTCCAGGATCTCAGGGTCTGATTGTTCACCTTTGCAGGTGCTGCTACACTTAGAGCTGGTGCTTGTTCAGGTGGCTGGAGTCAGGCTCGGGGGTTACGGTCAGGCTTGGGGGTTACGGTCAGGCTTGGGGGTTACGGTCAGGCTTGGGGGTTACGGTCAGGTTTAGCGCTTACTGTCAGGCTCGGGGTCTGAGTGGACCCCCCCTCCCCTTAATGTCTGTGCTCAGGTCACTGTTGCAGTTGTGATGCAGTTCATACTTTTCTGTTACGTTCCTCTGTTTCTGTGGCTCAATTTGCATTTCAGGAAACAAACCCCCCAAAGTGAGGAGTACTTGGTAGCAGGGTAAGACCAGCCCGCGCTGCCGCTTCCTGCAGACGTGCCTCACTACATGTCAGTGTGTATGCATGCGACTCTGCGTGACGCTCTGTGAGTGTGTCTGTCTGTGTTTCCTCACAAGCCCCGGTTGATCAGCACCTTGTGGGATTCTTGGATTTCAGTCACAGATTTTAAGATCCATGTTGGTGTCTCTGATGGACTGCACTTGAATTCAGATCCACTCACTGATATCTTTTTAATTAAAGAGCTTGGTAATTATGGATCACATGCACAAGCTGACTAGTCCGTCCTTCTGCACATCGTCCTTCTCTCCCTCCCCCCCCCCCATCCTTTCTCTCATCCATTCTTTTTTTTTTTTCTTCTCCCAAAAACCAAAGTTTCTCTGACATCATCCTGGCCACCATCCTGGCCACTAAGTCTGACATGTGTGGCAAGAAGTTCGAGCTGAAGATTGACAATGTGCGCTTTGTGGGACACCCGACCCTGCTGCAGCCCCCCCACACTATCCAGGTGAGAGAGAGAGAGAGAGAGAGAGTCCATGCAGGTGGGGGATGGGAGAGACACACACCTTACAGATGAGGCTCACCGGCTTTGACATACGAGCAGTGTTTATATCTCTGTGACCCCTGCAGCTTCAGGCACTGGCTCATGACCCTGCAGTGTCACGGCAAACAGCCTCTACTGCCAGAGGATTGGCCTCTTGTGCCATCTAGTGGTCAAACGTGCATCACATCATCAATACAGCTGGTGCATTATCTGTTGCCTGGTCACCTGACCACTAGGAGAAGTCACACTGAGCACAATGCCCCCCTCCCCCCGTGTTTCTGCAGGTCTCCAAGACGGACCCCTCCCCCAAGAGAGAGATGCCCACGATGATCCTGTTCAGCGTGGTGTTTGCACTCAGGGTAGGTGGAGGGGGGGTATGGGCGCTCGGTGTGTGGCGGCCATGGCCAATGGCAGCGTCACGTCTGCAGCGTCCTGGGTTCATTCCCATGATGCTTTGCGAGATCCTCGTCCCATCACCGGCTTGTCACGTTAGGGATCAACATTCACACCACATCCCAAGTTTGCCATGGGCAGATATGAAAAATGTGGAGTTTGCCAAACACATTAAAGCTTTATTCTTGGGGCCGAGTCGGATGTCGAGCGTAAACGTGCTTCTGAGGTGACTTGGCAGCTGGTTGGGGCAGCTGGTTCTCAGAAAGGGAGGAGGCTCGGGGGAGGGGACGATAAAGTCCCTGAAGTCGCTATCTACCCCCCTCCCCCGCGGCGTGACTCAGCCACCGAGATGTGCTGACTCAATTCCCCCAACCGTGACTCGGCACGGCCGAGTGGGAGGCAGAATGCAGAGTCATGCTGAGGGTGGGGTGCCAGACACACCCGGGGGCCGTTTTTATCTCTTTGGACACTTGTGTTTATTTGGAAATCGAATGCAAAATATTTCTATGATTCTGTTAAATTATCTGGTTACAGAACCTTTACTTTGTAATGAGTGCTTGTACATGTGGTCAGTGTCCTTTTTAAAACATCACATCATTTTTAAATACATCTTTTGAAAATAAAATATTATTATTCACATAGCTTACATAGATTTTAATATCAAACTAAACAGCTTCTCCACCCAGAATTCATTAAGCAATGGGGGTCGGCAGCTTGCTAGAATGAAACTACAGTTAATTATTAGAACGTCATTATCATTCCCCATTTTCAGTTGACTTTAAAGGAAATGCACCCGTTTGTCACGTTTGCAGTTTAGTTAGTTTGCTTAAGATGTTTCATATTTTTTCAAAAGATGCTACATTTCCTGACCTGGATGTTTTAATGCTGAATGTTTGTAATGGCAGCAGTTTTTCTGCGTTGTAATTTGCTGTCAGAAGTTGGGCAATTTCCACAGCGACATTTCAGTGGACAGGAGCTCATCGGAAAGTACCTATCTGACTGTTACTATGCTTTGTACATTAGCATTAAGCGTGAGACGCTGCCTTCAGTCTTTTCCTGCTCAAATAGTTCCCTTAAGTCCTTTTAAACTGATCAGTTGCAAATGTTGCACCAATGCAGGCATCAATAGCGGTATATTAACTGTGTATGTAATGCACATTCATAGTTGCATGTTTACCTCCCATTGAAAGTTTCATTTTATTCATGCTTGTGAGTTATAAAACCATGTTTGCATATAACACTATTATCATTATATGTCATTGCAGAGTTTGTCACCCTCTGTGGCAATGGGGAGGAGAATGGGGTGGGGGGGGGGGGCATGACTGAAAGGGGAGGATTGTGGCTCAGCGGGCTGTCTGTGGCGCCCCCTGCAGGCCAACACGGACCCGTCGGTCATCGGCTGCATGCACACGCTGTCACGGCGCATCGCGGTGGCCCTACAGCACGAGGAGCGCCGGTGCCAATACCTGACGAGGGAAGCCAAGCTGATGCTGGCCATGCAGGACGAGGTCACCACCCTGACTGAGAGTGAGTGGGGGGGAATATACCACAGCTTTAATGCATTTGAGTGTGGACCCTGAGGTTTGGGGTCCCCCTGTTGGCCCCAAGCAGTCACTACACAAAATGTCAAACAAACATGCTCCTTATTTATGTTCTGCTGACCTGCAAGCTGCAATCTTAAGATGCTACTCACTTCCTATTTATTTTGAGATAAACATTTAGACTTTTTGAGTGGGCCTCCAAAAACAACAAAGACAGGGAGGTGCTGCCGCGTGGGGCTCCGCGCGCAGGGAGGTGCTGCCGCGTGGGGCTCCGCGCGCAGGGAGGTGCTGCCGCGTGGGGCTCCGCGCGCAGGGAGGTGCTGCCGCGTGGGGCTCACACTGCACTTCACATCACGCCTCCCCCCGTCTTTCAGCGGCTGACGGCGGCCCCCAGTCGCCTTTCCGGCAGATTCTCCCCAAGTGCAAGCTGGCTCAGGACCTGAAGGAGGCGTACGACAGGTGGGTGGCACAGAGCAGCCTGACCCACAGCGTGCTCCGGTCCTCGGTCCGGTGCCCCCTTGTGTTCAGCATGCAGCTTATGATTTCTCTCTCAGCCTCTGCACGACCGGCGTGGTGCGACTCCACATTAACAACTGGCTGGAGGTCAGCTTCTGCCTCCCCCACAAGATCCACCGGGTGGGGGGCAGCCACATTCCCCCCGAGGCCCTGGAGCGCAGCCTGAAGGCCATCCGGTGAGTTCTCTGACCCAGCAGGCACCTGCCTGTGATTCATGTCCTTACAAGCATAACTGCCATTTGAAATATATTGCATATCTTAGAGAGAACCTGCACTGTAATATTTCCAGACTATATGATTTATATACCACTCACTAAGAAAAATTATTGTGACTTTATTGTGAAATCCATTTGATTTTAGTTAACAGGATTGACACAATTAAAATGAATGTTGTTTCTAGACTTGCATCTGTTCGTCGCCGCCAACAGAAGTGCCATTAAAACAATTTGCAGAATGGAGGTGAAAGAGACCTAGAATAAGATTCTCAGCTTTACAGACCCCTAAGGAGGGGTGGTGAGGTCCAGCTGCCTCTTAAACGTTATTCTAACGCTGCTCAGCTGAGTCTCCTGGTCTGCTGATCATGGGGTTGGAATCAAGATGGAAGGAGCCAGAGTTGTAATTGATGAAGATCTGCAGTCAGTTTTGGGGAGCCAACGGTCCACAGAGGAGGTGTTTAATATACAAAATCCAAGGATTAATTTTATCCTTAGAACTTGGTTTTAGGGTATAAGACACTACCAGTTCGATAAAGAGATTTGAGTTTAAGATGGTCATCATATGATCCACAGTTTGCACCAGCAATATTAGACTTTAGATACAGAGATTGGATTTCAAAAGGAATAAGTGCTGTGTGTACAGCTTTAAACGGAGGAGAAATTGAAAGTTTTCAGGACCTGATAAGTATAATTTGGACAAATTGGATTTTTTTTGGAATTTTGCCATTATTTTCCACAAGAAATTCAGCGGAGTAGTTCTATGGAACGTGCACCTCTTATCCAGGCATTTATTGAAGCGTACAAATCAGAAGGCAATAAAAATTATTACAAAGTTGGCATCAAGGTATTTTATTATTGAAGAAACGTTCAACATTAAAAGAGATGGGACATTGAATTGGGGATACAAATATCTGAGGAAGTATGGGAGAATGGATGGAAAAACCGAATTAGCTCTACCAGTTCAGGGGTTGGGGGAGAATTTTGCTGGAAGAGTTGTGTGTATTTCTGTGTTACACCTAAACAATAGGAGAGAATGGGCAAAACTTTGTGTCCTTGCTGGAGGCAGTGTGGGTCAGTAATTGCAGACCATGCGCATATTATTTGGTCCAGTTAATCAGTCATGGAATGAAGTTTGTAACTTGCTTTGTAACATAATGGGCTGTAAGATTGTACCTCTGTGACCAACCTAAAGAATTATATAAATACTTGTTAAAGGTTCTGCAAGCTGCAAGTAAGAAAGCAATCGCGAGGAGATGACTTACTGAACAAGCACACGTAGTGTTCGAGTGGGTCAGTATTGTTAAAGAGATATTTAATATGAAAAGCAAAACTTTTGTAGACTACAACAAGAAAAAGTACAGAAACTTTAGTGGAAATAGACCAATTATTTGGCCCAGGAAAACATGGAGCTTGTTTCTGAAAAAGTTATATGACACATGATTCCTGTTCAAAATAAAAAGTTTTTTTTATTTAAAAAAACAATAAAAAGAATGTCTGTACAAACCCAGGGATTAAGGCAGTGGGTGTGTGGGCACCCCCTGCAGGCCATACCATGCGCTGCTCCTGTTGGACAGTGAGAAGTCCCTGCTGGCCCAGCTGCCCCTGGACTGCTCTCCTGCGCTAGTGCGGCTCATCAAGACCTGCTCAGCCGTGAAGAACCTGCAGCAGCTGGCGCAGGATGCAGACCTGGCCCTCCTGCAGGCGAGTATCGTATCTGTAGCATTGGGTTAGTTGGTGAAACTGGGGCCTTATCTCACCATGCAGATAGCTGCTCTGACTGTTTTGTGGTCCATGCTGCCCTCTAGTGGCTGTATCACCACATAGCATCACTTCGTTTTTGATTGGTTGCCTCTTTTGTGAGAATGATCACTTATAATTGTGGATGCAAAACTTTCTCTGCTTTTTTCACAGATCTTTCAGATTTCTGCACATTTGGTTTACTGGGGTAAGGCCATCATCATCTACCCTCTGTGTGAGAACAACGTCTACATGCTGTCTCCACACGCCAACATCTGCCTGTGAGTGTGTCTGTGTGGGGGGGGGTGAGTGGGGCTGTAGGGCCCCCGCCTGTGAAATGGACACAGCAGCTTTAGCTGTCGGGTGGGCCAAGGCTTTGGTGGGGGGTCCCACTGGCCAGCGAGGGTGCTGGTTCTGGGCTGGTTCTGCTTCCTTCAGCTGGAGAAACCAGCCTCTATAGACCCATCTGGTGAAGCATCGTCAGCCTCAGGAAGCCGCTGAGATCCAAGGCTGGCTTCTGCAGATGGGGTTTCACCAATGGGGCATGTCTGTGTGGACTTAAGTCGGTGTGCTTTTGTGGGCTCGGGGTCCGATTCATGCCGTGAACGAAGTGACCCATTTAGAGTTCTCGGGCTCAGATAAGTATATCTTATCTGATATGGGTATAAACCCAAGGAGTAAGGCAGTAGTTGGTGTGTGAGCACCCCCTGCAGGCCATACCAAGCATTGCTCCTGCCAAGCTCTTTCCTGCACCTGCTTCCGCCCCCAGGTACTCCCCCCTGGCTGAGCAGTTCTCCCAGCAGTTCCCGGGCCACGACCTCCCCTCCACGCTGGCCAAGTTCTCCTTGCCTGTCTCGCTGTCAGAGTTTCGGAACCCCCTGGACGCCCCCATGCAGGAGGTCGGTACTTTGCTCCCATTGGCTGCAGAGGGTTACAGTTAGCAGCAGATGGCCTAACGCTAACCCCTGACCCTGCCGCAGGCCCAGCTGATCCAGACGGTGGTCTGGCTCCTGCAGAGGCGCCTCCTCATCCAGCTGCACACCTACGTCTGTCTGCTGGTGCCGCCGAGCGAGGAGGACCCCGGGTCCTGGGATGAGGAGCCGCTGCTGGCGACTCGCGTCGGGGGGCGGAGCCTCAGCACGCCCAGCGCCTTGAGCTTCGGCTCCCCCAGTAAGTGCTGGAGGGCCGGGGGCTGACGGCGCTAATGTTGAGAGACATAATGAGGAGATGGAAGGTGAAAGATCAGGGTGCCTCCCTCCCCCCCCCGCAGCTAGCAGCGACGACATGACCCTGACCAGCCCCAGCATGGACAACTCAAGTGCCGAGCTGCTTCCCGGCAGCGACTCGCCGCTGAACCGGCGCGTGACGGAGACGCTGCTCGCCAGCCTGACGGAGCATGAGCGCCAGGCCATCCTCAGCGTGCCGGCCGCCCAGAACCCAGAGGACCTGCGCATGTTCGCCAGGTATGCCACCGGGACCACGGACACCCGCCACCCCCCATCTCCATGGTGTTCAGCTACTCTTCTGTAGAAGCTTCTCAAGGCCAGATCTGTGGTTTCTGCAGCCTCTCAGTTCTTGGTATGAGCTAAAATTTGACTTGCGGTGTATGACATAGGGCCTCGTTATAAATGAATGTAGCTCAGCCAGCTAAATCCAAACTTGAGTTTGAGGGCAGGGCTAGTCGTGTGGACCACTGGCTGTTGGACGTAGCTTTTGACTGTTTCATCAGCCAACTAGCTCTAGATGATTAGCTTGGCTTGCGTCTCTGTCTCCGCACCACTGGACCTCATCAGTAAGTCTGTCATTCTGATGTTGGCCAGCTCTTTGTTAGGAGATTTACAGCAGCTGTTGCATTCGATGATAAATCATGGCAAAGGGAGGGAAAGAATTGGATGAAGTGATTGATTGGCGCGCAGCCGCGAGACATGTTTCTCCGCACTGTGAGCCGCGGGGCGTGAGGGCAGAGGGTGTGGACAGCAGACGCCTGGTCCACGATCACATCCTCCCTCCTTTTTCGCCTCAGCTGCTGTGTTGTGTCCGTCTCTCTCAGGCTGCTCCACTACTTCCGGGGCCACCACCACTTGGAGGAGATCATGTACAACGAGAACATGCGCCGCTCCCAGCTCAAAACACTCTTCGACAAGTTCCGAAGCGTCCTGGTGGTCACCAACCACGAGGACCCGGTTGTCTCCCTCTTTCAGTCACCCCTTGACTAGGAGCCGCTGGCTGGTCCGGACTCTCCAACTCTGCAGACTGCACCCGCGGGTCTGATTGGACACCCGAGGGGTTTCCTCTGACGCTGGGAGAACGAGGCGCCTTTGCAGTGGGTTCGGCTGGTTCGTTCTCGCTATGGGAGCCCAGAAGCCTCAAAATGAAGGCAGTACCGCCAAAAACTCATGCTGCTAAACTGATCTAATCTACAGACGTTTGGGAAGAAAATTCACACGTTGAACTGACGGGTTTCGCTTGAGATGGTTTCAGATCTGACTACAGACAACCCAAACTCGAGGCCCTGAGAAGTTGCGTTTGTGCATTTACCGCGGTCACTCTAATTTCAGTGTGAGGACGTCTGTGTTCTGTATGACCTTCTACACTTAGATCCCGTCAGAGCCCATCCCACAGAGACAGCAATAATTTCAGTTTTGAAGAACCAACATCAGAAACATCATGGTTTTATTTATGCTACCAATACCACAGGGGGGGGGGGGATCTCACCAGAGAAATTCAGCTTAAGATCCATTGATGGGGGCTTAACAAAAGGGGTTTCTCTTGAGCTTTGCTGGTCCTTCACCATTTGACCCATTATGTCAGGTGATCATCTGGCTGATACTGACCACTGCACATCTCCAAGGTTATACCAAATATTTTGGCGTGCAAGAGCCAGACCCAGATTCAGGCTGATTATCGTCACACCCCCAAGGTGAAGGAGGGTCTGGCTGACCTTCAGCAGCTGGATCTTCTTTCACCTCAGAGTGTTCCTCAGCCTCTGGGCTGTGAGGAGAACACGGTGGCCAGCACTTAAATAAAGTGAAAGCTTGTTCCTTATGGATAGACACCCAACCCTGACAGGTCGTTAAGTAAAGCGATAATAAGTAAATGTCAAATAAATTACATCATGGCTGATTCTAGTCTCTTTTTTTTCCCATGTTTGAGGCATCACATGACATATTTATGGTATCTAAACACTATGACTCAGACGTGGCAGGCGTGTACCACTGTTCCCCAGTGTGATGGATCACTGCTGATAGAAATACATGCCTCAGAAATTGACAATGGACCCTTTCAGTCTGTGCCCAGACCCCCCTCTAGGCTGGGAAGACAGATGAGGACACTGCGGAATTCCACATCCCAAATGTCTGCGAGGGGAAACCAAGCCGAGAGAACCTCAAGCTGGTGACACTTATTTCAGGGCAGGAGCAGCATCGAGGGGGTCAGATCAGGCCCGGTGCTCAGGGTGCCGGTGGCTGGAGATGTTCTTCCTACAAGCACGGCTGGTCTGTGATCGTGACCATCTGAGTGTCTGTGTAGAATGTTGTGGGAGACACCGGTGCTAATGATGGTTAGCACCCCCTCATAGTGCTGTCACGATGTGATTTAACAGGAGAAGATCCTCCCCCAGCCAGTTACTGCCCCCCCCCTCTATCCCCAAAGAATGTGTATGGAATTTCCCCTCATCAGGGAAGTATGCAGATGGGGGGGAATGTTCCTCCCTGCCACTCCTAGGCCTCCAGCCCAGGCTGGTCCGCCTGCCTCTCCGCCTCACGGTCCACCACGCTCACACATGGGTGCCCCCGCAGGTAGAAGCGCAGTGGTTTGCGAGCCCACTCCCCGTAGGACTCCACGCCTATACGAGCAGCCACTACCAGCTGACCCGGCCATGCGGGCCTCTCCTGTGGGTCCCTCTCCAGCCAGACGTGGGTGTCGGTGGCCAGGTCATGCCGGTCGAAGCTGCGCGGCACATCCAGCGCCTGGCACAGCTTGGAGGGCCCATTGCAGAGCTCCTTGTCCCGCAGGGGCCGAGCGGCCGCCCGCCGCCGGACCGACCGCAGCTCCCGCATGGCCTCCTGGCCCTCTAGGGGCTCCAGGGAACGGAGCAGCACTGCAGCGCCCTCTCCTGGATAGAAAGGGAATGGCGTGAGGTCAGACAGATACCACCTGACATTGCAGGCCCAATTTGAAGTGAGCAAAAAGAGCCTAACCTGTAGGTCAAGCAAGGTGCGAATATTATCCCTCAGGAAAACGCTTGTGGGCAGTGTGCTAATCTGCTAAGGCTGGGGGAGGAGGGAGTTCTCACCCTGGCTAGACACGTTCATGCACAAGTAGATCCCATAGATCTGGTACACGTAGATGGTCCCCGGCTTCATGAACATGGCCGTGTTCCTCTCTGTTCGTCTGCCGCCAGCCGAGTGCGACGCCTTGTCCTCGCCGCCCAGGTAGGCCTCAGTCTCCACTACCCTCCCCCGCAGCTCTGTCCCATCGGCACGGCGACGCACCAAAACCTGACAGACACAGTACAAGCTGGCTGTAGTTTGGTAGGTGTCCAGCAGAGGGAACTAGTGGGTATTAAGGATTACATTTGGGTTTTAATTGAGTAAAAGGATTGTGCTAACAGAACAGTGTCTGTACATATTAAATACAGATTAAAAGCTACTAGGAAATTCTTGTAGGCTGTGACAAACGCAGCTACAAAGGTCACTCATATTAGGCTGAATGCCAGTCAGCAGTATGTGTATCAGCTATAAAACAGGTCTGACATTCAGCACTTTCATATGTGAGATTTTTTTTCAATCGACATGAGGCGACGGAGTCGGTGTCTGTGAATGGCAGGTGTGTTGGTCACAGGAACTGCAAGATTGTTTAATGTGTCGAGGGGAGCCGTCTCGATGATCACAGCGGCATCTGGGACAAACTGCATGAGGACGGGGACACTTAGCGGGACAGCTGCTGAAATCCGGCAAAATACAGCCTCAAAAATGAGCATAGACCTGAATCAGCTGCTCTCTGACCCAGCCTCAGCAAAACGCTGTATGTCATGGGCTTCACATGACTGGAATTTATCGTAGGCAGTTTTGGGAAACCAAGATGAAAGCACAAAAATGCATTTTACGTTTTGGTGAAAGACAAAGGATGCCTTCGAGCCACAATGTTGGGGATCCGTAATGCCCTCGCAGGGGAGACACTGGGCCCAGTGACTGTTCTGCATGGTTGTATAAGGACCAAGGATCCTGAGATCCTGTTTTACAGGTCTACGGGGCCAATGCTGTTCCCTCACAATACTCCCATATTCCAAGATAATAATCTCCTCATTCACATTGATAAAGAAATTCAAGAGTGCTTTCATGGACACCAGGATGAAATCAAACATCATCCAACCTTTATGGGAAGTTCTGGAGACCAGAGTGTGAAGAAAAGTTCTACCTCCATCTCTGAAAGAACTGAAGGCTTCTTGAAGAATTGTCCACTCTAAAAGCAGGTCAGGACTTGTATAACAGCCCTAATCCTTATGATGCCCCATCGTATCAATATATATTTAGGTTTTCCATTTTGGCCACACCCTGCATGTGGTTATACAGATCAGTGGTTAAAAATGAAGGGGGATGAATTTTTTACATCTAGGGACTGTACAGGGGGTAGGACACTGACAGCCAAGGTGATGTGTCTGTCCAGAGAAATAATAATTTCAGCCGGCATCATACTGCACTGATCTTCAAAGTCTTAAAACCGTATATATCTAGCTCTCTAACACAACTGCATGTCTGCTAATCTGTCATCGAGGCAGTTTCTGAATGCTGCTAATCAAAGTAATATTTTCTCGGAAAATGATGTTTCATGTAGAAGCGTGAAATGACGTATGTGTCCTCACCTTACCGAGGAAGGCTTTGGCCAAGGCGACGCACGGCTGGTTGAAAAAATCCTCTCCCAGCCTTAGGTCAAGCTTGGGCGCATCTGAGAAGTAGGGGCTCAGTACTGTCTGTAAGGGGGCGCTGTCAGCCGGAGCCGGAGCCAGGGGCGCAGGCAGCATCGGCACGGGCGCTGCACCGCCGCCAGAATGCTTCCTCTTCCGTGCAGACATCTATGTGCATATGAAAGACACGACAGGAGGCAGAATGCAAGGGAATTACACCACATCTGCCGGCTTCGTAATTAACATCTATCAGGACAATTACGCCATCAAATAAAGTAAAACGTTATCATATATTAAGGTTTTATGGCGACTGCAGTGACAAATGACAGCATTAAGTATCGCTGCAGTAGGAAAAATCAATAATTGATGTAAATAATAAACCGCAGAAGGAAAGTCCACTAATTATGCTATTTATCGGCATTAAAAGCGCATATGCTTCGCTTCCGGGTTTCATCCCGCAAAGGATTCTGGGATCTCGTGACTGTGCGCGCTTAAAGGGACAGCTTAACAACAGAGAAACCAGTGGCCTGTATGACGAAGCGGGGTTACTGGCTTATCGGGGTAATTTGTTGACTTTAAGGTACCACTGTTTAAATGGACTTCATATTCATTCACTTACATTTTGCCCAGACTACCTTAAATCGACAAGTTACCCCCATAAGCCAGTAACCCCACTTCGTAGTATACAGTACAGGCCACAGGCTTTTCTGTTCATAACAATAATAATAATGAACAGCGAGTAAATACAAGTAGGAAGAGTTTAAGTACGTCACAGTGACATACCATAGGCATTTTTTCACTTTTGAATGAGAAAACTAAGCGAACAGATTATTACTTCCACGCTAACCATTATTTCCTCTTATCCTGCGCACTAACGATGTTAAAAGTCTCACCCCTTTCCTTTGCGGGTTTGACCTTACGTAGTGCAGATAGATTTTGAGGAAATAATGTTTTGCTGAAGTTTACCAGAGTTCTGTTTTTCATAATAAGACCCTTCAAATCTGCAAACAATGACCCAAACGTCGTTCCAAGTTCATATCTTGCTTAACACACAAAAACCACTCCCTGATCTAAAATGTGCTCTCTGGGGTCACAGACAAGGGATCCATTGCCACTGGCCTGGTGAGGGCCAGCATTCTGAGTCAGTGAGAGGCGTTACCGCAGCCGTTAATGAGAAACATGCCGATGGGATATGAATTAGAGGATGGGGTGGAGGAGGGGGTCTGCCAAGAGCCTTCAGTACTTAACAGCGACCACCTTTCTGTAACCTTTAGGGAGGCTCCTATCGCCACGGCGCCCCACCTCGCATGCCAGCGTTGCCCACCATGCCAACACAGCCCTTGGTATCTGTGGGTGATGCCAATCCATGATCCCAGGTCCGGAGTGCGGTGAGGTCCTTCTGCCACACCAAACAGGGGGTCACCCACCAGCCATCCTTTCGAATCAGCGTCACGTGGCGTTCATGTCGGCCTCCCCTAGAAGCTGAACCTAGAAGCTATGATTTTACATGTTTAAACACTGCTGTGGATGAGCAGTGAGGGTTTATCTAAACTGAAAACACCAAAACCAGGAAGGTGAGGGTGGCTATCATTCTGTTCACCTCATTAAGCAGCTATGTAAGTGGTTGGATGTCATTTTGCGTCAATGTATGACTCACCAATCGCCTGTCTTTCAATACCCATTAATTAGGCGTGTTTTTGTACTTTCACTGCCCTTTGTTCTTCGAGAATCTCACTAAGCCCATTGACTCTGACACAAAATCCCTGGAGCTCGGCACAGACTTTTATTAGTCCATGTCAGTTGAAACTGAGAGGATTATCTATAACCAAATGCTGACAAAACAGAGACTGATTTAAAAAGGGCAGCGATACTGGGAAACCCAGGAATGACGAAGGCTCTCACTTCTCATGAACTGCCCCCCCCAACGCCACCCACTGAGGACACCATCTTTTATTTTATTTCAATAAAGGCGTTTGTTTTTAATAAAGGCGTTCATCCTAAAATAAATAAACGTATCTGCCAATGGCATGGCCTGGAATCATCAGCTTATCCAATGCTTTGCCACCCCCCATAAACAAGTTTTACCCTCGCCTTGTGCTGGGCCCTATATTGAATTTTTATAGGTCAGGCTGGGGAGCACCCATCGCACCCGGTTGGCGACCCCCCAGGCTGACACTCGGTCCAGTCCCACCCTCTAGAAATGCCCACTTATCATCCGCAGCCAGGTGTTAGGTGGGGGGTGGGCGTCCCCTTAGCCAGATCACCCACGAGGAATCATGCCACATGACAGTAGTGCCATAACTGATGCCCCCTCACAATGCAGGTAAGGTGCATCAATCGGGAACAGAGATAGGGACTCGAGTTTGCGACTCGGACTAGAGTCGCACAGTCGCTCTGAAATTGACTTCCGACTCGACTTGACTCCGACTCGTCGGTACCGACTCATGAACAATAAGAGCCTTTAAGGCTCTGTTGAAATTTCTACACATGCGAAGCATTGAGTGTACAACACTCCCTAAACCGTAAACAAATTATGATGTGCGGCTGTGCGGAGCAAAGGAACTGGAGGCGGAGAAGCGTGACGCCAGGCGGTATCAACAAGCGAAACGTTTTTTTGTTTTGCCACTGGTTCAAATTGTAGACCTGATATAACAAACCGTGGGATATTCCGATTGTTATTCCGAGAGTTATGTTACATTAGATTGTTCTGCTTAGAAATAGACCTTGTTTAACCTGTGTCGTAAATTATATATAGTGTGTTATTACACTGAAACAGATCGGCATAGATTGCCAGAAATCTGATAATTTAGCAGGCACGTCCCTAAAACGTAATTTAGTAGGTATATAGTATTAGGTGACTGCTCTCCCGTGCCAGGAGCAGCCAGACTGCGCGCATTACTTAATCTTATTAACATGGAGTTCGCGGTGTTACTTAATTGCCTAATCATTTATTTACTTGCACACACACGAGCTGAGAGACAAATCAATTTTATCCATTAATTGGAGTTTTTGCTTTAGAATGATGTGTAAAAACCAAAATTGCGTTTTTGTGTGTGGTCCAGGTATATATTACGTTATGGGGAACAAATGTCCCCACAATGTGATAAAAACCTGTCATTTTGATGTTGTGGGGTCCATTTTTTTCGGTCCCCACAAGGGCAAAATACAATCATAAAAATCTGTGACTGCGATCAAATTTTTTTTTAATGTCAAATGTTTTTTTTTTGTTTATTTTTGGTTAAGGTTAAGGCTGGGATTAGGGTTATGCCCATAGAAATGAATGGACAGTCCCCACAAAGATATGAATACAGGTCTGTGTGTGTGTGTGTGTGTGTTAAAATGAGAGTCTTTACAGTCATTAAACACACTTTCAGGCTTCTGTTTTTAGAGGAATTTGCCAAATAATTTTTAGAATCAGATTTTAGTTTTTTGTTCACCTCCTATTTTAAGAGCAATGTTATAAACTGATTTAAAAAATGCTGTTAGCTGCATATAATGTTTTTTTTCTTCTTTTTTTGGGGGGGGGGTCCTTTTTTCTCTTCTATGTCTGACTCATTAATGCTAAAAATGTTTACTTGTTGATTTTGATGTCATTAAAAATTCAATAAAAAATGCTGTTAGCTGCATAT